AGTAGTCAGTCACTAGTATGCAAATATATTTGAGTCATTTTGTATGTAAGTGAATATTAAGTTTGTCAAACAAGGTACAAGTGGTTTGAGTTATTTTAACTAAACAGGTAAAAATGATTAAGTTTTTGGTGAAGTTAGGTAACTCAAAAGCGGTCGAAAAACTGAGTGTTGATGAAACTAGTGTAGTGACAAGGGTGATGATTTATCACAAACAGATATTTAAAAGGATTTACGTAAAAATAAGAATATATTGATGATTGAGTAGTACTCAGGATACACATACGAACAAAGTACAGAATACGAAATCACGTTAGAGTTATAAATGAATACAAGCATTACAAGCGATGAAACAAACAAACAAAATTGAGTCGTCAACAATTAACAAAGTTGTTATCATGATAATAGAAGTCGAAGTATACAGGAATCCTGATGAAAAGTCGTGACAAATTGGGGTCTACCATGCTGGGTATGATGACGAAAACGCGTAGAAGGCGTAGTCTGGTAGTTGGCCGAGAAACACATCAATCAGTAGAAGTTGGGATTTGTGGTCCATTGGATCGATTCCCAGTGGCTGATTTCTCTACGAGCTTGCCTTATAACAGAAAACCGTGGATCTTAACCATGGTTGGTGCATACTACCGAAAAGTCCTAAACTGGAACCAAAAAGCTGTATAATACTCTTCAGTTTTATGGGATTCTCTGACATTCGTCTCTGATCAAACCTTAAACATGTCAAATTATTGAAAAGCATATAGTGTGAAGTAGTTGGCTGAATTCACTTTGCATACAAGTTATGTGAAATACAATACGCAGTAATCAACGGAAATCTAAAGCGTGTTACATAAAGTTACCTAAAAAATTACATAAATTCACTGTGCAATTTGTTAGCAGAACTTGTGGTTTTCCTTTACAGAGCAACAATTTCACCAAGATTCGTGTACAGTTGACTGGACAGTAGCTGTTGAACTTGTGATAGACAACATTGTACGTTTCCTGATGATACATCCGTCGTCCATACACCACATGTATTCTTCTTTGCAAGTGAATATTTGGGAAGTAGAACCTGTCATCATCATTGTGAAAGTGATGCATCCATGTGCATTATCAGTAACCCAAGTAAATATGATGCATGACTCAGAAGATTATATATTTTCAATGCGTGTGTCGTCTTTGAATCTACAATGGGAAATTGCTTAAGAAAATTAAAACAGTGATTACCTTTGATAAATTTGAATAAGGCATTTCGAAGAAATGGTTTAAACAGTTTCACACGCAAGCTCTGGTGGCTCAGTATAAGTTATAAAAACATCTGCAACACAACCGAATGAACTACCGACTACCTCTCCTCCAGATTGACAGTAAATCTTGTTGTAAAAATAGGTACGTTAAAAGGCACACATTGAAGTTTTTGCTAAAAAAGTCATAGTGCTGTCAGGCAATCCATCAATTTTCATTAAAGATAATCTGTTTCAGTGGGAAGGTCACTTCACTTCACTTTTCTGTCAAATTCAAACTAGTCCTTTGGCGAATCTTTAGACAGCCGTTGTCAAACAGGTTCGAAATTTTCGTGAATAATAATGTAGGTTTCATTGTTTTGCTTCTGTTAACGAAACGTGCACCAAACTAGACGCTTAAAGATTCATTTCGTTGCTAGAGGGATCGTCGATCATTTTCTTCTTCAAATCAGGAGATAATATTATTTTTTCTCATTATTTTATAACGCATGCAGAACACTGGATGCACTGAATTGCATGCTGTATCGAATGTATTGTTTCGAATAAAGCCATCAGTAGGAGAATGAATAATCACGTGCAAGAGAAATAAGACTCAGTTTAATGAGAAGTATAACACAGGGTAATGGGTTATGATTTCGGAGTCATTTTCAATGCAACAACTCCTATATACATCTCATCGAATATTGTGCTCTCATGAGGAATATAACACTGACTGCATGCCGTCTTATAAAACAAACCTAAATAAGTTATGAACGTTCCGATGGCTTTTAACACATTGGTTATAGACATTAAGGAAAAGATGAGTGGATTCAAACTGTCAAGGTTTATCTGCTGTTGTCTAACAGCAGTGAAAAAATCTGCATGTGGCAGTCAGAATATCAGTATAAAAGGTTACTCGCACAAAACACAGTCTAATAATGAAACCTCTAAGAGGCGATTTAAAAAATGCTACACTTTCTGAAGTGAAATAATTAACACTTCGTCGATTTCACCCTCACATTCGAAATGTAATTCCATAAAAGTCACGATTTGTTCCATAGAACCTTAGGCAAATATCTTATTTCAAAAGTATTAACAGTAGGCAAGAAACAGATTTTCATTCAGCTCGTTTTCAAAGACGATGATATTATGAGAATGGTTTACTAAAAAAATTGGAACCGTCCTAAACAGATGATATCATGCAGCAAAACTAGTCTCTCGACTCCGAAAATCATGCTGGCTGGGACAATCAACCTTTGGCTAGCACCCCTCTTATGTTGCATCCAACTGTGTATATTGATTCACATGTAGCTACAGTGGCAGTCACATAAAGAGAGCATATAGTTGGGCCTTAGTCACAATTTTTGACCTTGTACCAAAAAGAATGAGTAGTGCGGACTTGTCAATAGCTAAACACTTGATGGACAAAGGACGGCAAGTTAAACATTAGAGGCATCCAAAATAATCAACAGACAAACCATTCGAAGTCTTCCCCAGTTTGCTGAGACAATTGCAATGGAAACGGCTAAAATGTGACCTATGCAATCGAAAAGAAATCCATAATGAGAATTGTATTGACCCGAAAAATTCCTACTTAGTGACTAATTGTCATCTCTTCCATTATTTCTTGCCAGACTTGATGTTGTTCGCTGGAAGTCCACCAAATGTATTACTCTATTGAACTAATTTATGCGGTTATGGTCTGAAAGCGACGAAGTGATCTCTATTTCGCACTATATGACTGACAAAACTTCTCTGAGACACGCGCTATCACTTGCTATCAAAATGCAGAAAAAGGATAACATTCTTCATATTTCTGCGGTTCTATTGAACAATAATAACGTCAAAACTGAAATTTATGTCGACAGTGCTGTGAGGCAGCTATCAAGGAAATCCCAGCTTCTAAATGCAAAACCATAACTCTACGACAACATTAGTGACCTAATGTTCAACTGTTAAAGGCAACTTAGAATCGAGGAGAATATTTCTAACTAGGTGGTATCAAAAGCTTTGTTCACAATAATCACCTACCTATGCTCCACCCAGACATTCGCCAGTCAGAATGACCTTTACTCCTTGTAACAAACTCATACCGTAAAACAAAACATTACCGACGCACACACAATCACAAAGGGAAGTATTACAACTCGAGAGTAAAAATGGACAAATACAAAACTCACTCAGGGACAAGCTATGTAGGTCAGAGGACCCAGTTGACCCAATTAGACAAAATAATATAATTTACAAAATACCCCGCAATGACTGTGAGGTCAACTACATAGGTCAAACTAATAGGTCAGGGGTAGTGAGATTGTCAGAACATCAGAATTTAGCTAAGGTAAGAATGGTTGACCCAGAGAAGATAAGTAATTTAGAAAAAAGCTCAGCAATTGCAATGCATGCATTAGCACACAACCACACAATACGGTGGGAGAAGGTTAAAATTCTAAAGGGTAATCTAGGTAGGTGGAGAGAGAGGTTGATTACTGAATCCTTGTTCATCGAATCTACACCCAACACATGCAATAGCAATGAATCATCACTCCTACCCGAAATATGGAAAAAAATTACTACCAATCAAATCAAGTGAAAATTAAGTGAAAAACAATGGAACTATATAAATGAATTTAGGAAGTTATGTGATTACCTTGATATGATTATGAGCAATAAAATGTGCTCGAAACGTCATCAGTAAACATTACTGTATAACACCATGAGACTTTATCAAAACATAATTTATCCATAATGGAATTACAAATGCAAATAGTTGGACGTTTGAATATCACATGTTGATTTTGTCCTTTTGTTAATGATAAACAGTCTAAAGAAAATGCGTATGACAATTACCGAGTTAGTTGAGACTTCTAAATAAGTAGCAAAAAATTCAAATAGATCTTTTAGGAGGGATTTTGAGCATAATTTGTCCATTTCAGTAACATTATCATCATTTCATTTGTCATCTTGGACACCAAATTTTGATTTTGCTATCTTGTGACTTCTTATCACTTTATTTCATCATCACTTATTACCCACTTATCTCTAAATTACTGCCATCGTAACGAGAAATTTGCTCATTTTTTACGACATAATTCTCTTGACACCACTCCAGAAGGCGATGGTTGGCTCACCGAGTCGTTCTACCAATGTTATTGTCCACAAATGAAAAGTGGAATTTATAAATGCACATAAAATAACTGGACTTAATAGATTATCCTTCGCCTGTATTGAATTTATACAAAGAAAGACGAATTGTAAACACAGTGTTGCTGCAAAGAATGTTTGGGCTATTATTTTTCGAAGTTTTGACGACAGTAATTCAGTTACTGTGGCTCCTTTAAAACGGTAAAGTCAAATACTTGAGATGCACACTGAAGTGAGCATGGAAGATACTGAAAAAATGAGCACTGCATGTTTCCCATTTCAGAGTACATATTTGAAGGTAGACAATCCCATCGAGATCGTTGACCTCAAGAGATAATCCCTTCCATCATTAATTTAGAACTACGTCACTTTGTGGAATTGAAATAATCATCGTCCTGTGACTTATAACCTTTACACGCTCAATATTTTGTTGTTTTCGCGTTTGAAAAAGTTCGCTAATAAAAAATATACACACAATAACTCTGAAATGTGTGCCGACTCTTTGCTTTGATATCAATGGTTTTGTGTGTTTGTGTGTACAGCATTCAAAAATAACTTGAGAAATTCGACTATTGTAACAAAGGTGATTTTATATGAAATGTGATAGCATTAAACCACTATGAACGTACTATGATCACTCTATATATAAAATTGCGTTAATAATTTTTATCAAAAATTCATATTAATATAAGCATGAGAAAATAAGTGAATATTTCCAAAGGTTCACATTCGAAGACAGAAGTAAGTGCGAATTACAAATATATCCATCGTGTTATTTATTCCAAAATTCCAATTATTATGGCGAATATACTTAACGTACAAAATTTGATACACACATTCGTGACAATTATTCTCGTTAAGCAGGTAAAATAATAGTCAGGTTTAAAGTAGCCTTTCTGAACTCCTCACTGGATGGTGTTTTTCATAGAGAGTAAATCATCCATTTCCGCAGAAACTTAATTATCGTTATTATAACTTCTGCTTCCACGTGGAAGATTGGGCTTCAGCAGCATATCTCCAATATGGATAAAATTTTATTTTGATAAATCGCACAGTTTTGTACAGTGATATTTACTGTCATTAGTGAATATAACTGTACAACACCGTATGATTTATCAAAATGAAATCTTATCCATATTGGAGTCATACTATACTGCCGTGCTCACGTTTGATACTTCTATCAGCAGCTCTCCATTTCATTCCTCTTATCTCCTTCACATCACAAAATCGCCTTCCATGCCAACCTCGAATTCATGTCCAACTCACTGGTTCCTATTCAGGTTCCATTCAAGCGATAAACGGTAGTTTGGCACCTCAGTCATGTTTTGAGTGTATTCAAAGCGGATATAAGGTTGTATTTACGTCACTTACTTGATTGAGGTATATCCCTCCATAAGAAAAATAAGTACCTTACTCTTGAAACTGATAAAGAATTGTGAATCTAGTGACTAGTAAAATTATTATATATTAATATTCAAAATACTATAGCTTTTGTATTTGTGAAAATCCACAACTAGGATCATATGAGATTTCTGGTCTAATTTCAGGGAATAAAATCATGTCAATTTCTGAAGAATATTTAACGCTGTTCGAAACGTCTAAGAATAAGCTACTACGACGAGATATCCCTTTCAGATATTATATCTGGGTAAGCATATCTTCTATGATTTGTTAAAGAGATTATTTCGTATTTCTAGATTTTAATAGATGCCGCGTTTATGATACTGACGACTACGGCTGTACTCGTCTTGTTTACCAAATTGTAGGATCGAATTACCATTGTGAATACTTAATATTATGTTGATTTGCAGGCAAATAATTTCTAGTTTCTTTAAGCATCATTTCTATTTGACGTTTGTTATTGGGTAAGTTCCCTGCTCATTATTATATATTTATCCACTATTGAATTAACTCCCAGTACAAATCACCAAAACAAATTCACTTATAATACAGAAAATTTTGATGTTAATAGTTGAAACATTTCGGAGAAATTTCAAACAGTACTATTATGTTTCTTGAACTTCATAGAAAAGAAAACCTTTGAATATAGATTGAACTTATTCTGCGTAAGAGGAATACGATTTCAAAGCGTCTTGTACTAGATCTCAGTATTTCCCAGTTGCTTATCTTAATTATTAACTTTAAGTAATATATTTAGTGATTCGTTTCCTATTTGAAATCACGATTGTTTTCCAAGGCTTAGCTTTCAGGGATTATTTGCTGAATAAAATAGACTAGCGCTGCTCGTAAAATGTGCCGGAGTGTAAAGCTGACCTTCGTAGATTACTTTGACCAGTATTGCGCAAAGTGGTCTCAGTTCCATGTACCTTTTATTATGTTTAGTAATCTACTAAATGCGTTCACTTTCCTTCCTAATCAGTTATTATTGTGTAAATAATACTACCGATAATTTAGGAGGTATTATGTATGTGACTTCTAAAAATTCAGCAGTGATCGTTGGCAAACTCGACATCTTCATACTTGAGACTTTGTAGGCTGTCTGGTGTAATTACTGGTATGCTACCTTATACCAGGCGTTGTTAAACGTAATATACTGAATCGCCGACTCAGTCAGTACACAACCTGACTAATACGAACTGGCAACAAAATACAAATACAAAAGATTCTGTTATTCGCACATGTCTTCCGATGACCGACGTATTCAAATAAAGCTGCAACACTATTTTCTGCAGAATATGACGGTACCATCTTTGTATATTTCGTTGAATTCTCATCAGTCACTTACAGCCTACAGAAACTAATAACTTTGTGCACAGAACACTTTAATGTACTTTCAAATAATACGTGATGTCAGTAAACAGGGGGACAGAAACTCAATAAACAGTGCGAAAAAAATTACACCTTTATAGTTTATACCTGGAGAGTTCAAGTTGAAACAAAATCTATTAACAATAAATAGTGTAACGCCAGCAAAAACAATATCGTTCTGTTTTTCATTCATTGTGAAATACAAAGACCTTTATTATAATGAAAAATCAGTCTTTGTTTACAGTGATAAAGGAGTTACACACGAAATATAAGGGATGAGAAAGAAGACAAGTAACTAATAAAAAGAGTAGAAATGATGTGAGTTCAAATCAGAAAACAGAAAGAAAAGACAAACAAAGTTACACTTTATCAAAGCACAGAGTGGTTAGAGCCAAATAATCTTGCAATCAAATGAAATAGAGAATAAAAGAGATCCAGTTACCAGAGCTAGAAAAGACTGACAACTGCTTGTTTGTGGAAACTTAAACCATTTCTCAAGCATTTGATTGTGATTGTTTCAGTTAAAGCCTGGACAACTGAACAATTTTTTCCGTTGATAATTTTTAAAGATTTCATAATGTTCACTTCAGGACCCGTATTGATGGGATGTATCCAGTTTTACTATCGTCAGCGTCTGCACCTTTGAAACGCAGGCGTTTTGATGCACGTTTAGAAAATTAAAGGTGTGTCCTTCTTTCTGCCATATGAATATTTTTATCACCACAGATATATTCGAATTTGTACACACATTTATAGTTAGTTAGCGAGAAAGATTTGAGAACATATCTGAGTTGTTCGGCTGAACCATACATTGTCAAGATTCTAGTGTTATCAGCAAAAAAGAGAGTGGAAAATGGTGAATGAGTGTGGTCGGATGCTCAAGTATTAAATTAAACTCAAAATACCAAAAGCATTCTCAATTATTTGGATGTTGGTTAGTCTAATTTACTGGTGTCTGCAAATTCATTTCAGATTTGTCGGTGTCATTCTACCAATTCCAATCATAACTATGACAAACTTCTTGTCAAACGTCTTCTGTGTTCATTTGCTGCTTGGAAGTACAGTAAGTGTCAATTTAGTTGTATAACTATGCAATTAAGCAAACTTTGCGCTTATGTTTACGAAAAAAGGAAATGCGCAACTATATCATGTTGTGGAAATTTATCCGTATACAATGTTCGACAGTCGACCCTAGAGCAAGTACATTTGAACCTATTTGAAACTGGTTTGCTGGATATACTTGCATTCTCCAGTGAGCGATGGTGTTCCTAAATAGCTAGTGTCGATTACCTATGATTTTAAACGTCAAAGCACTGACCACTATACCTCCAAGTCCAAGAGGTTTACATCTTTGAAAATGGACTTCAGTTATTATTCGTTTTTAGGACAATCGTAGTTTTTCTGTTGATTGATGGCACGGAAATGTCCGGCACCTAATACGTACGGTTCAACGATAACTGAGGGTTAATTTGAAGTGATTTGATAAATGGTGATTAGTAGAGGAATTCAGAGTATGCTCAGTTCATCGTATTTAGGGCTGGCCAACTTGATTCACCTGCACTCCATATTGAGTGATGATATTCCCAGTTAATCGATGGGAATATGATAATTTACTTAAAAATAAATTATTTATGCCTGTTTGAGAATTCAGCTTGATCTCGTCTATTGTTAAAAACACGCATCACTCACACCAACCCGTAATGCTTACTTGCTAGTACCGTATAAGTAACCTAAACACGAGGCAGTTGTTTCACTCATTTGAGATCCAGCTTATCGGCCGTGAATGAGAAACCAAAAAATGTCACAAGATTGAACTATTTCAAGGTATTTTATTCTTCACGTAGCTTCTAGTTGTTAAACAATTATTTTGTCCTCAATTTTACTCGTTGTAGGTTTTGCTGTGGTCTGTGAGCTTGGCTGCTGGCTTTGGATCTGTTGACATGTTCCATGGATTGATATCACTGATTTTGACAATTGTGATTACAATCACGACTGTGGGGTTGGCATTGAAATTACCATCAATGGATGATAATCAGTTGGTTGTCTTTACTACAATATCATATACCATTTTGATTTTATCAACTATCTTGATAATATTTAATGTCATCAAGCAACCAAATGTAAGTTTATCTACAAATGCACCTAATTTACAAAACTCTGTTCAACCAATGAATTTCCTCGTTATTCTATTAAATAGAATTCGGTATTGATAGTCTAGAAACAATCGTTTGAAAGCTAGTGAATTCCGGATTCCAATAAATATTTTCCAACACCAACGACCAAATGGAACCTGTCATCCATTTTATTGTACTTTGAAATATGTGAACATATAAATCACTCATTGAAAACTGCGAATTCAGCCTTAATGCGATAGAGAATTGGAAGATGTTGAATCCGGACTGCATTAAATGTGATGCAGGAAAAAAATCAGCTACCATTTCAACGACAATTCAGTGGCTCGTGTTGCGATTGGCAAATACTCAGGCTCTTTAGATATTTATAGGCACCCTACTGACATTTAAAGGATTTGCTAACAGCTATAAGATATGTGACTTCAATATAAACAACTGGGTCACCACTGAATGTTCATGAGAGGGTTATACGTAAATTAGTTATTCAATAAATGAATGTTAGCAGCATTCACACGCTTTAAACTATTGAAAATGAAGATATTTTGGTCCATTGTATCCAGCATTTATTAGTGATGACTGTGGTTCGAAATTAAGATTACTAGTACCAACATGACTGTAAATCTCTTCCACTATATTAAAGGACGTTTGAGACTTTACGATAACTCTGAAGGTGCTGATTTTGAACCCAATCGGTTGCGTTTCGTTGAAGATTCTTAAACTGCGACAAAATGGCTGTTCAGTACTTTCCAGTTTCTCAACGGTTCGCTAACCTGTAATTATGATACGTCAATATCAATAATTATGTGAGTGTGATCGCTTTAACAAAACGTGAGTATACCTATCATCTGAACTTGCCATCTTTTTCTGTTTGTTATAGACACCAATCTTCAGCATTGTGTCGGCAATCATCTTTGGATTATTCATAATCTGTGTAAGTTTATCCGTGGGCTAAATTCGGTTATATTTTTACTTATGCGACAACCGTAATAGTCAAGGGTTCGTTTAAGACAATTCAATTTGTTTCTTGTTTAACCGCAAATTGGTAATGCGATACAGAACCAGTGAAAACAGAGGAAAATCGGCAGCTGCTTCGTTTTAGTTCAATACCTACGGATTAGTGGAAGTTCGAATTTAGTGAAGTCAACTGAATAGTTTATACCCTAACGTTGTCACCATCATTATAGGACAATTTTCTACAGTTTTCAACACTAATTTAAAATTTATGCTTCTACAAGGTCAAGAGACTTGATGTGACGTTTCACTAAAAGTTTTTAACGGGTAAATGAAGACTCATCAACAATTACTCACTTTGTTCCATAATGAGAATTAAATGGCCACCCAGAACGGATAGGCAGCAGGCAATTTTTGCGTCAAGGCAACGAGAACATCTTATCAAGCTATTATACCGAAGGAAATGGAGGCAAATTAGGTACACACACAAAGGAATCTTTAAAGTCATTGTGTGCCTTGGCACCACTCAAGTAGAATAACGATGGGAAGAAGCGAGTTGAGAGGTAGTTCAGAATTGATACACAGGAGATGGTGTGAAGTGGAGGAGTTGCGAGATTGTGAGGAATACTAAAGCCTGGTGAGTGTGACTACAGAGAACTGGGTGAACTGTAGATGAGCTGTTCAACTTGAAATCCAAAGGAATAATAATAATCGAGCTGCGACAAACCATCATACTGAAAAGTACTCATATATGAATCCAGATAAGTGGAAACGGCGCAAGCTATTCAAAACAGAATTCTTTTGTAGCCGCAGCTTGTGATATGTATACAAGCAGTCAAGCGGAAAAATATGCATCAGAAATGACTTACCGTTTGATAATGAATCCGTAGATACCATAATGTTGGATTATTTCTTCAGGTTTCATTCTGTAAATTAGAATATATATCAGTGTAATGGACTCTCGCAAATGTGTTTACTGATTACTATTGAATATGAATTTCAGCCAATGTATTCTGTCTTTGCTTTTTCTCTTTGCATCACTAGCTAATATTTGGCTTTATGAACAACTTGGACCTGGTAGTATGGTGGTTTTCACCGTATCCATCGCAATTTGTTGAGGCTTTTATCCTCTGGTTACTAGTGTGCTGCCTTTTCGTCATTGTATATACTACTTTAATGTTGCCTAAAATATGGAACAAATAACAGGAATTATTTGTTTGTTTGATATGCCTGAGAGTGGTGTTAAACCTGGTGCTTCTGAATCATGATTTGATATTTATAATTTTATTGGTGAAATAATGTTAATCATGTTCCTTTTCTGTGACGTCATATGTCTTTTTGCTTGCATAATAACCGCTATTCTGTTAAAGTAAATAAAACATCTTAAACATTAACAATACACAAGTAAAGATGTAATCATTAAAGAGAATAAATTTGCATGTACGATTGTTTCGCACTTATCACTGCTGAAATGAATGTTCAGTGAAAGAGCTTATACACTCCAATTGAATTCAGACTTCTTATGAGTTCAACAAATTTTGGGAAATCCTTTTTTCTCGACTGAGCTATGGATGAATTTCTACAGTAGACAAATGATCACCAGATATTTGGAGGACAGACTATCACTTTGAGCAAATTGCTCCTCTCCAGCTAGTTATATTCACGGCACAAGACTCATTTTCCATGAGCATCTCTGAACATTACCCACCATAATTAGCAAGAGGAGAGTTTAAGACAAATACCCGCTCAAACGTTGAGGACTTGGTGTACACAAGCCATGGAGCTCCACCACATTCGTCTTTTGAGATTGGGTGGTAATGGTGTAATGTGTATGCTCAAATTTTGAGCCCTCGGACTTCAAACATAAGGTGGATAGTATAATAATAGTAATAAATATAATAATAATATAAATATGAACATAACAACAATTCACACATATCAAGGCCGGAATGCAATGAGTGAATGATATTCACAAGAAGGATTTCCCCCACATACCTAACTAAAATGCTGAGTAGAATTCATCATGTCATACTCACAACTGACTTGTTCAAGCTTAAAAGCAGTATTTATTTTATGAAGAAATGGCATTAAGTGGTATCGAACATTGCTTAGTCAATATACTCTTGATAGGAATAAATGTTATTGTAACAGTGTTGAAGGGCTTATATTCAAATAAGATGAATTACACGGTTTTTAAATATTGTCACTTTGGTAAATTAGCACAATGGCTCTGAAAATAGGTCTACTATTATCGAAAATCAAAATTGAAGTGATAGTAACAACGAAGAAGTTGGAAAATTGAACTGCAGTCAACTGAAGTAATAAAATTAAAAAAAGTCTCGGAGTGTACACACTAATTTACAAGGAAAAATACAGTTTCTGTTCAGGGAAGAAATATCTCTTCTCAATGCCTTCATTTCCAAACTCTACAGTAGTATTTATATTACGGAAATATGGCATTAATTGACACTATAAATTCCTCAGTCGATAAACATATGATAAGAATAAATGTAATTAAAATGATGCATTGAGAGGGTAGACGTGAAGCGGATGAATAGGAAAAGTTTCAAAAATTATTATATAAGTGAGTTGGTATATGGATTTTAAAAGTTGGTCGAGTATTGTCAATAAAAATTAAAAGTACGATGATGATTACTTTAGTATTGGAGTGGAATGAATTCAAGACGTAAAATATAAAAAAAGAAAAAGGAAAATACGCATGACAAAGGTAAAGAAGAGGGTTTAACAAAACATTTTAACTGTGCAAAGCTAATTCTTCGACTATGCATAAGTAGAGAAATCATAAGATTTTGGAACGGCTGGGTTTGGTCCAGTAACTTTGAAGGATAAATCACATAGGTCTGAACAACGTTATAGAGGAGACGTGAAATTTCGAGTGATTTCTCGCAAACAGATTCGAAACCTTGAAATGTAAATTGTTATTGATTCTAAGAGATTTGTTGTATACAGGGATCTGTCTTTTCTGTCTCAATGGCCAAGACTTCAGCGATACAGATGAGTCGGATAGGTAGTTAGTTGGGCAAAGCACTTTTCACCTTTTAGGTAACTTAAAGGACTGAGGCTGCAGAGTTAGGATAATCGTAATCGAGCAAATGTTCAGTGAACACGCTTCGTAATGCCTCACTTCCACCTCTTATTAACTATGCATGATATCGTTCTTGTACCTTTTCGGAGAAAACCTAAGTCAAATGAACGATATACCTAGCTGCAAACGAGCGAGTGGATTGTTAAACGCACATATAAATCGAAAACTGCAGGATCTAGTTCTTCACGGTTTCGAAGAGTAACGGTCGACTAAAAAAACACTATTCTCAACAATGCACCGGGCAATTTCCTTCTTAAGCACTGTAAAATCCTTATTTTAATGATGCTGAATGGCAAGTCGCCTTTGAATTCGAAATTAATGTACAGCATTGTCTTGGTCACGGACGTTAGAACACGTTTTGTCGGTTTTCACTATACGTTTTTTCTGCAAAACCTGGTGGAAATCAAATAAATTATAATTAGCTTTCAATAGTTCACACGCAATCATAAGTTCTTGCTTTTGGTAATTTTTCTACACTGCTGAAATTGTTTTACTAATATTGAGATTTCAATTAAAAGATTTGATTATTCTTCTCCATCATCAGGACTACATACATGCCAACGGGGGTAGCAAGTGACCGGATCAGGTTTCCATTTCTACCAGTGTATACCCAGCTGTAGAAAACTGTCAGTACATATATTTGCATATGAAACATATGGTTTCCATCAACGGAACATTTTGAAACAGAGATTCTTTATCTTAATATCACATATGTTTATTCTAAGCATTTTTATCCTGAATAAAATCGACAGACTGAAAGGTGTCCTAAAGGTATGAAAAGGTATTTCTCCCCTGACGATTCCAAGGATTTCAGCTAACCACATCAATATGGGATGATAAGGTGATATATTCAAGATAGGTGTGAGTGGTAGAATAGCTTTGCGTAACTCACACAAAGCACATGAAACGTTTCCTGACGACCATTCAAAGTTCGTATTTAACGACTTTTCAGGTGTTTTATCCTATTTGCAGTTAGAAGCTCTATCCATGAGTCCAGAATTTTGCGAGGTCAACCTTAATACTCTTTGACAATCTGAAAACTTAGTCACCCAAACTAATGATGTAACTCAAACTTCTGAACAGGAACTAAGGCGATTCAAATTAACAATAATCCATTGTTGTTATCAATATGTGAATACAAAACCAAAAGTCTACAACCACCAAATAAAGCAGCATAGAGAAGAATTGAATCAACTAATAACCTGTCTAGATAAAAGAGCTGGCAAAGTCCACATAGACAGAAAAGACTACATAGAGAAAATGAATAACACATTGTCGAATAAAGCAAACTTCTCGCAAACAACCAATGAAAAAATAAAACAGAACAGTTTAAAAAAAAACTCACTGATGCCCTTAAAAGAATGAAAACCAAACAGTTATTCAGTCATGAAGTTTATGATCAGAATCGAAAGACAGGATCAATAATATCAAGACTATAAGGCTTACTAAAAATACATAAAGCCAACCTCTCACTGGGTCCAGCGCTATATATATAAGGTTCCCAGTACCATTCAGTAGCAAAACAGTTAGCTGATATTTTTTTAACCTGTACGAAAACAGATGTGCCACTATTTGCTGACGGGACAACTTTCAGTTTGTCGACTATGTACAAAATATTGTTCATAGCATAATTCAGATATTTGAACGCTTAGAGCATATTGTCAATTTATTCTTAATTCTGTAGTAAAAGATTCAGAAAAATATTCAACATAAGATATCGGTAGGATACCGTTTGTTATCACAACACTCGTCGATTCCTTCTGACTACTTATTTTTACAATACTCATCAGTCAGCCCATAGTCAAAACGTTTGAACTATCGTCTCAGTGGTTTCAAGGAAAATATTTCTCAGAACACTTATGAAAAATACATTTTATGTTGAATGTAATTGTTAATAATGAATTAGAGGGACTTTGTTCAACTCTAATAACAATAAGTAGTGAAACAATGTTATTGTTTTCAAGTGATGAAAAGAAAAACGTTCAGTTTTTTTTACTCTCTACTTATAAAACTCATGTGGCTTCACACTCTGAATGATTTC